AAATTCTATAAAGCTGACAATTTTCCACCTTGCCAAAAAAGTCTTGTAAGGCAACATGAGCTCTCTGGATATTAATCCAAAAGAAAATATATGGTCCTTCATTAAAAAAGATTTATATGAGGGTGGAAAACTATATTCAAGCAAAGATCTCTGAGATGTGATAAAAACTACTGCAAATAATATTAAAATCAAAACAGTAGAAAAGTTAAGAAAATTAATGAAAGACTGATGAAGATTGCATAATGCCAAGGAGGCCATATTGACATGTAAAATAATAATTTATTCAGATATATGAGATATTTTGTTAATCCAATGTAATTTCCATGACATGGCCAATATATTTTGGATTTATTTGAAAACAAAAATTTGACTTGATCATTATTTGTATAATAATAACTGACTAATATTTTACTAATATTGGTTTGTAAATAGCAATTTTATTTTATTTATTCTTTTTTTATTAAATTTTAACCCAATACAAAGTTGAAGAGCCACTCAAATTGGAGTGTAACTGAATGAGGTTGCAGATTATGGGGATATGCAGGATAGATAGAAATTGACTCTAGAATTGCAGTAATTGGGCAAGCATCCTTTAGGGAGTCTTTTTCACAAATTAGTAGTACTCTGGGAGCTGTCAGAGTGGAACCAATGGAATATGAAGTGAATGAGGATTATTCAGTCCTGTGTATGTGGCATGTTGGGTTCTAGCTATAAATGAATGATGGAACTAAGACATGTAGAGCTGTCTAAGCATTTTTCATGAAAATAGAAATAGAGCAGCAATAATCTTGAGATATTTCATCTGCGGGGAAGTAAGTAGGGTTGAAAATAATTAATTGCCCACAAGGTTGCATAAAGACTTTTGAACACTGGTACGGTAGCTCCAGCTTAAATATGGTAGCAATGTCCACTTTTTAATTATCCCAGCATCTTTAGTAACTGTTATTACTCTTTCCTGTATTACTGGGGATTTCCCTCCTAACATTTTGTTTGAGGTGGTGTGGAATGTCAGTATCTTGATTATTTAATTATTCTCTCATTGAGTTACATGTGATAGCTATTTTAGTTGTTGCTGTTGTTGAAAGTCCTCAACTGATATGGTTTTTGTTATCTGGTACAGTTCTTTGCTTGGGATTCTGTAGCACCAGTCCACAAGTTTTAAAGAAGGATGGTCCTCACACAAAGCGATTTTTAACTCATGATCTGAAAAAGTGGTTGTTTATAGCTGACAGTTTAGATTTTTCTGAATGTGATTAATACCATGAATCACATCCATACAAAAATTTTAATCTGACAAAATTATTTAAGAACATGAAATTTTTATATATCTCCAATACTAATTACTTTTTCCCTCTAAATATGCAAAATTTTTAAACAATATGTGTGTGTTTGCATTGTTTAAAGTTTTGCATATTTAGAGGGAAAAAAGTACTTAGTAGAAAATAGAATATATATATATATATATATATATATATATATATATATATATATATATAAAACCAAAATAGTGTGTTGTCAAGGCAGAAAGATGGACAAAAAGAATGAAAAAGATATAATTTTTTAATTATTTATTCGAAAATTATAACATAAATATGTTATAAAATCACTACAAAAATAGCCATTTTGTTTCAACACTTCTGGTGTCTTATTTATGTTATAATTTTCAAATAAATAATTATATATATATAATGTATACACACGCACACATTAAGTATTTGGGCAGCATTCCCACTTTTATGCAAGTTTTTTTTTTTAAATAACTGACAGGGTGGAGTGCTTGAGCTTTTTTTATATAATTTCTCATGTTTCCATCTAATTTTTTTCTCTTTTCAGGACATAAATTATCTAAAAATTCTCCAGATGTTTTCCAAACACTTTTGGCTATACTTTTAGCTATTATCAAGGATGAATTTTATTTTCTTTTAACTGGTTATATGGATTATTTTATGTATGTATCCAGTATTATAGGAATTAATATACAAAATAGGTGTTATTAAAAATTTCCTTATGACTTGACTGATGTTATATATATACATATATATAACATCAGTCATGTCCTAAGAATTGAAGGTAAATTTCAACAGACATTGCTAGATGGACATTTGGGTGACACACACGTACACATATCTGCAGATCTATTGGTGGAATATTGGTAACAAAAATTGTGTTGTACCAATGATTACTTTGAAAATCAGCATTCAAAATTTTGAATTTTATCTGGACTTGAACCACAAATATTGTTGGTTTCAGAAATGACTCAGTTACCTGAGCCACTACACACACACACACACACACACACACACACATATGCATTTATGCAAATAGCAGTACATATATCTGTACTATATCTGTATCTGCTAGTAAGGCTGTCTATATTTGTATAATTATATTTGTAAGAACAATTATATATTGTTATATGCATAAATAAGTATATAGATATATATATATATATATATATATATATATATATATATATATAATGTGTGTGTGTTTGCAAATATGCGCTAACACACATAAATAAACACTTTAAAATACACAAGCAGGCTGTCCACATGTATATGAGTGTTTTCCTGTGTGAGTGTATGGGTGTGAGAGAAAGAATGAGATGAGAGAAAGGGAGTGATATACAAACAATAGGGTAAATAATGAATGGAATAAATATAGAGAAAAAAGAACTTGATGAATAAAAACATGCAAAGCAGAGAGAGTGTGTGTGTGTGTGAGAGAGAGAGAGTGATGGAAAGAGTTTGTGTGTAGGAAGGAATGTATTAGAGGGTGGGATCAGGAGTGGAGTGTGGACTTGAAGTTGGAATAAAAGAAGACAGGAGCAGGAAGAAAAATTCTTTGAAAGTATAACTGCCAATTAAAATCAGGTTCTACAGTTTTTGCTTCTTTTTGTACCCCCCCTTTTTTTCTTTTCTTTTTTTTTTTTTTAGAGGCAAAACTTAGCTGCAGGGTTTATTCATTTTCAAAAGGAATAAGTTCCATAATTTTTACGATCACTTCTTTTATTGTCTTCCACCACCACCACCATCATCATCATCATCATGTATAGCACACCAGTTTCACCAAATGTAATTGTGTGATTGCAATCATCATGGTCATAAGAATTGTAACCACTTATATCACTATCAACTTTACTATTATTATTATTATTATTATTATAATTATTATTATGATATCACTCATTCCTATATCCAGCACCCTCATTATAATGAACATTGTCCATCTCCCTGAATCCACAATTGGTCATATATCATAAACCTCATTATTATGATGTCACTCATCCCAGTTTCCAACACCCTGATCATTGTCCTTCCTTCTGATTAGATATATCACAAGCAACCTTATTATTATTATTGCTGTTGTTGTTGTTATTTCATTCATCCTCAGATCCAACACCTCATTATTATTATTACTACTATTATGATGTCCCGCATCCTCAAATTCAACACCCCCATTATAATGTTCCTTGCCCTTCTCCCTGATCCCACAATTGGTCTTATATCATTATAAATTTTATTATTATTATGATGCTAGTCATACCCATATCCAACACCCCCACTGTTCATTGTTCTTCCCCCTGATCTGAAAAATGGACTTATAGCACTTTAATCTTATTCTATACTTATCACAACTCTCCAGATCATCATTAGCATTAATATCATACTCAGAAACTACCCCTCAGCTTTGAGTTGATATATCTTGTCAGTAACATTTTTGTCACTACCACCAAACTATCATTAGACTTCTCATGCCTTCACCAATAGCATACTACTATTACAAGCATTGACTTTACTACCGTTATCCTCATTATGGATTTCTCTTCTAATACTACTGGTATTTTTACTGTTCCAACCACTACCACCAATTATTATTATTATTATTATTATTATTATTTCTTTAGATTTCTGTTGTATACTCATTTCATTTCGGGTCCCGACCAGAAATGACATCATGACATTTTCCACTGAGCATTTTTGAGAAAAAAATCACACCTATTTTACACAGATAAAGCCATTTGTAAGGTGTGGGCTGTACTTGTGGGAACAATTTTTTTGTATTTCTTTAAGGCATGGGCTACCAGGGATCTTTTCAATGAGTCTATTGGAATCTTTTCCAATCAATCCAAAGGCTCCAACTACAACTGGAATTAATGATGTCCTCATGTGCCACATCATCATCATCATTATTATTATTATTAGTATTATTAGTATTATCTATTGCATTATTGCCATCACTACCACTCCCATGATTAATATATATCATCATCATCAAAATGAGAATAAATAGCATTGTCACTGTTTTAGAATTTCTACCATAATCAGCTCCAGTTTTACCCACATCCTTATTTCCTTATCAACTTCTTTTACATATCACTCACACCATTGACGTCATGCCTACCATTATCTATGCTCTCACAAACACCACCATAACAACCACCACCACCATAAACATAAATCATCAAAACTACTAAGATCAAAACCCGACAGAACAAATACCGTTGCCCTCATCTTAACTCTGGTCACATCATATTCAACTTGGTCTTCAGCCATTAATTCTCTACTAATGATAACATCTTTTCCCCATTGCTTTTGGTGTGACAACAACTTATGCCAATTTTCCATTAAAACTAACCAACAAGCAGAAGACAGAACAAAGATGAGTGAGGATTTTCTGTGACAAATTGAAGAAAAACTTTCTTCTCTTTGCCTTACTATTATCTTTTTTACTTTTGTCATAATTTTGAATGATTGTTTTCTTGTCTCATCTTTTGTGCTCTAGAGCTTAGAAAAGATTAAGAGAACAAATAAGGAAAGAAGGAAGGAAATTTGTGTGGAATTATATGCGGTGGGGGGGTAGTTAAAAACCTACTTTTTGCATAGGTGAAATCAGGAGTTGAGGAAATATATTGAACTAAAAACATATTTGGAGAAAGTTAATGGGAGCGAAATGAAATGTGGGAGTCAGGAATAAAAAGGCATAAAGTTAATAAAAACTGACATCAGGGAGGAAGAAGGAAAGAGAGAAAGAGAGAGAAAAGAAAGAGGAAGAAAGAGAGAGAGAAAGAAAGAAAGAGAAAAAGAAAGAAAGAAAGCAATAGGAAGAATGAAACAGAGAAAGTGGAAGAAAGAGAGAAAGCAAGATATTCATGAGGAATAAAAAGGCATAATGTTAATGAAAACTGAAATCAAGGAGAAAGAAGGAAAGAGAGAAAAGAAAAAAGAAAGAGGAAGGGAGAAAGAAAGAAAAAAGAATGAAAGAGACAAAATAGATGAAGAAGAAAGAAAAAGAAACAGGGAAGAAGAAAGAACATGAGAGGAAGAAAGAAAAAAGAGAGGAAGAAAGACAGAAAGAGATAAATTTAATGAAAACTCACATCAGTGAGAAAGAAGAAAAGAGAGAGAAAAAGGAAGAAAGAAAGAAAAAAGAGGAAGAAAAAGAAAGAAAGAGAGAGGAAGAGAGAAAAAAGAGAAGAAAGAAAAGAAAGTAGGAACCAGAGAAAAAAAAAGAAAGAAAAATAAAGCAAGAAATTTGAATGACATTAACCCTTTGCGCCCTGTGTTCCTAAACAATTTTAACCCTTCTGCCTGAGCTCCTGAGTCAAAATTCACAAATAATTGGTATGTAATGTTTCACAGTAGATATAAAAATAGTTTACCCACTGTTCAACCAGTGGCTGAGCATTACATCATTTTTCTCTACCACTGGTAAATTGACAGTCAGGACTCAAAAGGGTTAAGAGTGAATAAAAAGAAAATAAAGGTTTGAATAAAAAAAAAAAAAAAGAGAAAGTAAAAAAGAATAAAATTTAATGAGAAAAAAAGCTAAAGGGAGATAAATCAAAAATTGAATGAAAAAATTTGAATTAAGGAAAAATTAGATGACTAGAATAGTGAGGAAAACTGAAAGTAAAAAAAAAAGAAAAAAAAATCAGTTAAAGGCAAGAAGAATAAAAGACAAAATGGTCACTCAACTCATCTGATTTTATTTGACCAGAAAATAGCAGGAAATAAATTTTACTTAACAAGGAATAGAAAATTATTGGAAAAGTAAAATCATGAGAAAAGTAAAATTATGAAAAGAAAGAATTAGCTTTATTCTGTCATTGATCACAGAATGTTTTTCAATGTTTTGTTTGCTGAAAATTGGGAAGTTCAAAAGCAGATCAACTAATTGTTAATTCATGCTAAAATTAAAAAAAGATAAATAGAAATTATTAGGAAGAAAATAAAAAAAATGATGTGAATTCAAATAATCTTTCAATCTGTTGTGAGAAAAAAATGAATATTTACTGATTTTATTTACACTAAAAGAATTAATTGGTTTATGATTAAGAAGTCAGAAGAAGGCCTGTTTATAATAATGTTGTTTCACTCAGAATTTTTTCTGGCAATCATGGCTCTCCACAATTTCCTGTCCTTTGTAGTTCTTAATAAATTTTGTCTTTCTGTTATTTCTCCTAAACCCTGTCCTACCATCATTTTATTCAAGCTCATTCTTCTTCCTCTATATACTATGTACCCACAGGGTGTAGGTGATCATGGCTCTCTACAACTTCCTCTCCTTTGTAGCTCTTAATACATTTTGTTTTTCTGTTATTTCTCTTAAACCCTGTCCTACCATCACTTTATTCAAGCTCATTCTTCTTCCTCTATGTACTATGTACCCACAGGGTGTAGGTGATCATGGCTCTCTACAACTTCCTCTCCTTTGTAGCTCTTAATAAATTTTGTCTTTCTCTTATTTCTCTTAAACCTTGCCCTGCCATCCATTCTCAACCTCATGCTTCTTCTATGTGGTGTGAACCCTCAAGGTGTAGGTGATCATGGCTCTCTACAACTTCTTCTCCTTTGTAGCTCTTAATAATTTTTGTCTTTCTGTTATTTCTCCTAATCCCTGTTTTGCCATCCTTTTACTCAAGCTCATTAAGGACGTTATACATTGCTTTCCACTGTCCCTCTTGCCCTCTCTCTCATGAGTATCAGATTTTCCAAACCTTCCTTCCTCACTACGTTCTCAGAAACCTCTACTTTCTCTTCCTGATGTTAAGTATAATTTTCCTTTTTGTTTACATTTTCTCTAAAACTTTGTTGTTGCTCACATGTTTGGTCCATAGTATCCTCAGTATCCTTCTGTAGAACCTCATTTCTGCTGCTTCAAGTCTCTTCATCTTTGAGAAGATTTTCCAGCACTCACTGCCATACAGGAAGACAGATATCATGTAACATTTTAGTACTCTTTTCTTTGTTTCTAACAAATCCCTGAAGCCATATGCATCATTAAATGAAATGATATATGACAAATATATTTTTATAAACACATAAGAAAACAAAAGTTCTTTCCTTTAGAGGCTGAGATATGCCGTTAGTGAAACAGTTATCAGCATACAAAATGGAACCTTCTATGTGTCTTGTCTCTTAAGAACATTTCTGATTATGGCTCTCTACAACTTCCTCTCCTTTGTAGCTCTCAATAAATTTTGTCTTTCTCTTATTTCTGTTAAACCCAGTCCTACCATCATTTTATTCAAGCTCATTCTTCTTCCTCTATGTACTGTGTACCCACAGGGTGTAGGTGATCATGGCTCTCTACAACTTCCTCTCCTTTGTAGCTCTTAATAAATTTTGTCTTTTTGTTATTTCTCCTAAACCCTATCCTGCCATCCATTTACTCAGGCTCATTCTTCTTCTTCTATGTGCTGTGTACCCTCAAGTTGTAAGTGATCATGGCTCTCTACGACTTCCTCTCCTTTGTAGCTCTTAATAAATTTTGTCTTTCTGTTATTTCTCCTAAACCCTGTTCTGAAATCCATTTACTCATGCTCATTCTTCTTCTTCTCCTATGCTCTGTGTACCCTCAGGATGTAGGGAATCATGGCTCTCTACGACTTCCTGTCTTTTGTAGCTCTTAATAAATTTTGTCTTTCTGTTATTTCTCCTAAACCCTATTCTGACATGCATTTACTCAAGTTCATTCTTCTTCTTCTTCTTCTTCTTCTTCTTCTTCTTCTTCTTCTTCTTCTTCTATGTGCTGTGTACCCTCAGGGTGTAGGTGATCATGGCTCTTCACAAATTCCTGTCTTTTTTAGTTCTGACTAAGGTTTTTTTTTTTTTTGCTATCTAGTCACTGTTCTGCCAACCATTTACACAAGCTCATTTGGTAGGTTATTTGCTGATTTCCTATGTCTCTCTTGTCTTCATTGTCTTGTGAGTATCAAATTTTCCAAGCCTTCTTTTCTGATTATCAGCTCTAGAAATGTCTGATTCTAAGTGTTCTTTTCATTTCCATTCTCCTTGAAACTTTGAAAATGGAACTTGTCAGCCAAATCAAATTCTGTCCTCATTTTTTGCCTTCGCATTTTTACTAATGCTCTTGAGAAAGATATGAACACTGTCTCTTCTTGCAGTTATGGGTTAAATAGCAGAGTAGACCAAGGTCTCTAGCTTTGGTTGGCAGCCAGTTTAGGTGAAAGACTATTCTGAATTCAAAACTGTAGAGAAAATCATTCTATTTTTTCCTCAAGCATTTCACAGATAATAAAGATAAAATGAGTTTGCCATTCTTGGTATGACGATAAACTACATCCACATCCTTGGGTAAGATGATAAACTACATCTAACAGCAAGGCGTCTGATCAGGAGGCTCTGAGGAGTGTGGAACCATTTCTTAGTTGCTATTGTTCCCAGATCCACCCTGACCTAGGGTGGTAGCACTTGTTAGGATCCAAGCTACGGGCAAATACATACTTAACCCCTAAACTGAGGTTAAAACACTATAAAAGTGTAAAAGTAGGTTTTGATACCAGTAATAGGTTTTTGCAAAGAAATTACCAGCAATAAATTTTTGAAGAAAATACATTTTTACAATAAAAATCTTGTTGGAATTAAATAACCCATTGGGGTATTGATATGCCATAAAACAAAACAAACCAAAACCTAACTAAAATGAGTTGGAGGAAAAATATGACAGCCTATACATTGAAGGGACATGGTATTTAAAAATATTTTGAGTTTAATTGAGAGTTTCAATTAACAATTTCTGTCAACAAAAAGAACTGAACAATGCGTATTGAAATTCAATAAAAATATTTTCAAAAGAAGTTATGTCTATTAAATAAAAAAACTACAGTATTTACAATGTTGTAAATTAGTGAATTTGCATTCATTTTCTTTCAAACATATGTGATGTTAAGAAGACATTGAAGAAAGATTTAGAAACAGTGTACACAGTCATAAAGGCATATAAAGCCAATTCTAGAAAGAAAGAATTCAGCAATAGAAAAGTTGACAGATTAAAAGAGAGTCTTCATGGGAATATTCAATGATAGAAGTTGGGTGTTAAACAAGAGAAAGTTTTGGGAATGATTGCTCATTGTCTTATGGGGAGACAGAAGAAGTCACAGAGGCAATGATAATCCATTATTGTTATATTTTTAGTTTGCTGTGGGAACAGTTTGACAGGAAGGTTATCAGCAAAAAGAATGAAAAACAGAAAAGAAGAGATAAACTGTTGAAAATATGAATATGTCTCTCTGTATAGAGAAACAATTACACATACACACACACACACACATATATATATATATATATATATATATATATATATATATATATATATATATATCTTGTGTGTAAGAGAGAGTTGTACAGAAAATCTTCAGGTTATTCCACTATTTCTCACTTAAAAAATCAGACCAAATGACCAAACAGAATTCTTTTTAAATTTCTTTCTTTCTTGGGTCAAGATCATACCTATGGACAATAATGGATATGTCCCTATTCACATAAATACAAGTGTAAATACTGTATGTTGGTCTGCAGTTGGAGATTTATTGTGGAATTCACTTGACTCACTTTTAGCAGTTGGCTATTTCTTCTATGTGCTGCTGGTGAATCTTATATGTGTTGTTCTTGCCTTAAGTATCATCATTCATTATCAACCTTCTTGTGATTATTCTAGTCAGTAACTTTCCCTAGGTTACAACAATATATATAACAATCAGGCTGAAAAAAATAGTTGGTGCATTGTACTGTTCCAGTAAGTATCTGACACCCTCTGCTATACTCTGTCTTTACAAGATCCATATCAGACCAAAAATTGAGTATTGCTACCATATCTGGACTGTCACTGTCTGTCTCAAAAGTGTATAT